CTCCTCCTCCTCCTCCTCCTCCACCACCATCATCTTCATCATCATCATCATCATCATCATCATCATCATCATCTTCTTCTTCTTCTTCATCATCATCATCATCATCATCATCATCATCATCATCATCATCACCATGCTTTATTTCATATGAGATAGCAATAATTTGGACTATTTGCAGGCATTACAGCATATTCATTAATCACCCATTAATCACCCATTAATCACAAGGCCATGCAAACCACCTCTATACCCATTTATTATTTTTGAACAATTTCATTACTTATAATGTAGCCAAATTTTGTGAACAAACATATGAAATATGTCAGGAATTGATATCCTGTAAGAATTAATTGGGATATAAATACTCTATATTTATATTTTGATTTTAGCACCTAATCTATTGACATAAGCCATTGTATAGTTATTTGTTTAATCAGATAGTATTTTAGGGTTCAGTTTAGAGTTAGGTTTAGGTTATTTTAAGTTACATTAATTAAATACATTTTATACTGATGCATAATTTTTAGATTTATAAATTTATTTGTTACATAGATTCTAGCATTATTGCTATTTTATTGTACATTATAGTAGTACATGGATGTTAGACTTATAGACATTCACCTGTAGTTTCCAATTTATAGATTATAATCTCATAGGTATTCTATGGTGAATATAGTTTACATTATTGACACTAGCACTATATGTACAGAATTAGTTCTGGGATTATTATTGCTCCTTTTATATTTTAGGCTAGTCAAAGACCAAAATAAATAAACTGAACTGTACTTATTGAAAGACTGAGTTCACATATCATTAGCTTTTATCCTGGCATGATGAATAAGACCCTAAGCCACAACCCATCGTTTTCACACTGTAGGACCTTGGTTCACACATCACCCAAAGCCCAAACCAGACAAATTTACATTGTGACCTTAGCCCCAAATACCTTTCAACTTCATTCAGCAATCTTGATAACAGCTGAAATTGCAAGATATCCTCTCCACCCATCCTTTCTATCCACTTGCTTGCTCCCTCTTAGTTTACTGAAATTTGAGCTACCAGATCTGGGCCAGAAGATGGCAGCATAAAATTAGAATTTTCTATGCCTTATTTCTGCCACTTAGTGGTCATCTAGATTTCTGCAATCCAGTTCCAGTCGGTCTCCTAAAATTGTAGCTGCTGCCTTTTTTAAATAAGATTCTAGGGGACGCTGGAAGATGCTCTGCTATAACAGAATTTTATGCAGTGCATTTTTTTAACAGCTGAAAAGATTTTCTGTAATATTTTCTTGGAACATGCATAAAGAATCAGGAGATGCTTGACTCTGTAATAGGCTGCCTTTCACACATTCCCCTTTCTGTGTGTATATGTCAGATGGCCAATTGATAGCACTGCCGTAAATTGAGCACTTGGCTAAACTGATATGACGGCATACTGGCTTCATGATTTTTATAAATGGGTGTGATTTTTCACTGGCTGATTTGTTTGGCATGCGTAAATTATTTTCATTTCATTGCATTAACTGCCATTACATTGACGGAGATGATAATTCCTCAGTTTTGCAAGGCTGCAAATGCCTATTATTTAGAATTGAATTTTTATTGACTCTTTTTTTTTCTGTACTATGAATTTTCTTGCCTAACATGGAAGCATGAAGAGAGCAAGAAATTTATTGAAGCAGGTGGATCGATTAAGCTGTCTTAGACTCCCAGGCTACTTTGGCATGGCATTTGCTACTGCAATAGTTTCCTTTCCTTTTGCCCAATAAAATGTTTGCAGTAAATTTTATTAAATAATAATAATAATAATAATAATAATAATAATAATAA